ATATATTATATATATTTTCTATAATTTATAAATAAATTTGTCATTAGATTTATAGGACTTACAAATATTAGTTTAATATATAAATTGAATTTTAAATCAAAGTATATTTTTTTGTAAATCAATTGATTTAATATTTATAATATTAGACATAATATTATATATAAATTTTTAGTTTATATAAAAACATTATAAATGAAATATAAACTTATATATATAAAAAAATTACTTTTTACTAAAACAATAATATAATAGTGTATATATATATATATATATATATATATATATCAATATATAAAGTTTTTTTTCAATACAAACAAATACAATATTATTATTAATACTAATAATAATTCAAAATTGAATACAATTTGATATAAATTTGTTGTAAAAATTTGTTTAATGTTTTTATTATTATTTAAAAAAAAAATAAATTTATAGAAATATTGTAAATATTTTGTTAAATAATGTATTATATTATGAATTGTAGTATAAATTACAAATAATGTAATATATTGTATAAACTTAGAGAGAGAGAGAAAGATAGAGAGTTAATATTTTAACAATTATTTATTTATTATTTAATTTTTTGCTTTAATATATATGAGATTTATTTGAATTGAATTCTAGTGTACAATGAAAATGTTAAAATCATAATAATAATAATACATTAATATTTGCATAATTATCACATAATATATATATTAGAAATTACTGTAAAAACTTTTTTATTTAGGTATAAAACTCTAGATTTAAATATAAAAAATAGTTTTATCCCCATTAATTAAATTATTGATTTATATATATATATATATATGTAAATACAGTTTGTTTTTATCATAAAAACCGATTTATTTATTTTTTTTGTGTATAAGATATACTGTTTTCTATACTGTATTATTAGAATTTACCTAGATCAAAATTTTCTATTATGTATTATAGTATACTAGAAGTATTAAATTTAAAACTAATTTAACCTGTATTAGACACTATGAAACAAAATGTTTTATTAAGTCCTATGTTTCTACCTATAAATTGTAGTGTAAATTGTAATATAAATTGATGTATATGTATATACTGTGTATATATATATATATATATATATACAATCAAATCAGTTTCTTAGTTATATATATATACAAAATTTTTAAATCTATATACATATAAACTAAAATATATTGCTAGTAGTAGTAGTAGTAGTAGTAGAAGTAGTAGTAGTAGTAGTAGTAGTAATAGTAGACAAACTTATATGTACTGTTAAAGTTTAATCAATAGCCAAAAATACATGACATACCATACAATTCCCATAGACTGACTGTATTTGTCTGTGTGTGTGTGTGTGTGTGTCTGTGTGTGTTTATGTGTGTGTGTGTATGTATGTATGTGTGTGTGTGTGTATGTGTGTGTGTGTGTATGTATGTATGTGTGTGTGTGTGTATGTGTGTGTGTATGTATGTATGTGTGTGTGTGTGTATGTGTGTGTGTATGTATGTGTATGTGTGTGTGTGTGTATGTGTATGTATATATGTGTGTGTGTCTGTGTGTATGTATGTATGTGTGTCTGTTTGTCTGTCTGTCTCAGTGTTGCTCCCAATGGATAAAAAGGCGCTTCCATTGCCTGAAAAATGGGTGTCTGAATAGGCGTCTCTGATTTCGTCTGAATGGTTGTTCAATAAACGCCAGACACAGACACACGGAATCAGACTATATATATATATAATATGTATATATATATATATATATATATATATATAAATCTGTACAGAATATCTACAGTATATATACTGTTTAAATATATATATATATATATATAATGTTATAATTAAATGGGATTCGTTAGGGCTGTGCTCATAGGCTAACTAAATAAATACTTATGTGTTTGAATCTGAACTAAAATGTAAAGTCAAAAACATACAGTATATACATACCGTATAATACTGTATAATATATAGTCTACATATATATATGAGTTAATAACAAAAACAAAAACCTACGATACATATAAAAGTTTTGGTAATTTATTGGTAGAGTGAGAGAGAGAGAGAGAGAGAGAGAGAGAGAGAGAGAGAGAGAGAGAGAGAGAGAGAGAGAGAGAGATTATTATTTTTATTGATATTAGTATTAGATTTTTGACCGTAAAATCTTAACGCAATTTTGCTGCCAATGCTATTACTATTACATATAATAAACATGTATAACAAAACAGTACAAATTTATTTAGTAATAGTAGTAGTAGTAGACTAACAATAATTATAATTTTTAATTTATTAGATAACAGTATAATTTATCTTAAAATATGATATTAGCCGTACAAATATATATATATATATCTATAAATTTATATATAGTTTTTATTAAATACATGACAAATAATGTTCAAAAACATATTAAGATATATACAGTACATTGAATTTTAAAGTATTATATAATATATATATATATTTCTATACTAATAATACTAAACCGGAATTTTAAGTTTTACTACAAATAATAATAATAAGACTATAATAATAATAGCAAAACAAAATAAATTTATTATAACATTGATATACAATAACAATATATGTTTTAAAAACTTTTTTTTTATTAAAAAATATGTCATTTTCTAAAAAAAATAAATAAAATAAACATTTATTTGTTTGTTATTGTGTTTACTGTTTAATGATGACAACACATCAAAAACAAAAATTATTTGAATATATATTTATTTTTTTTTATAAATATTCAATTGTTATTACTTATATATATATATTACTTATTTTATTTAAGATTAAAATGTTTTATTCATATGTTTTTTTTTTGAAAAAAAATCTATTATTTAATATTATTGTCTAACAGTATAGATATAATAGACATAATCGTAAACTGATTTTTAAATCACTTTTAAGTTAATGTAATTATTTCTATAATTTATTTTATTTCATTTAATAATTTTAAATAATTTAGAATTTAATAAATAAAGTATTTATTTATTAATGTGTTTTTTTGCTATAAAATAATAAAAATAATGTTATGTTTAACAACAACAACAAAAAATAAATCCAAGATTTTTTTTATTGACATTATTTTGTTTTTTTTAACTAATTTTATTAACATATTGTATGCATAAATCAAATTATAATTATGTATATTCAACAAAGTTATTATTATTATTATTATTATTGTTTTTGATGACAATAAAAAACATTAATAAAAATAAATTTATATATATTTATTTAACTAAATATTTTCATATTGAATATTTGTTTTCCGGTATTTATATTGTTATTTAAAGTCATATAATAATAATAATAATACAAAATAAAACAATAAATTATATGTTTATTCATTTTTTTTTGGTGAAAAACATTGAAGCAATTATTGCTAAAAATATTTATTATATATTTATATATTAATAACAAAAAGTAATTTTAATTTTTTTAAAAATGTTTTATATTACACATACATATGGGCTAAACACAAATATACATAATATAAGTGAAAATTTCAATAATAATAATAATTATTATTATTTTCTTATAGTCAATGTTTTTATAAAAGTAATAAAAAAATTATTTAATTAATCAAATAAAAAATATATTATCAATTTATTATCAATAAATTATAATTGATTAAATTATATTTGTTAACTATTACTGTATTATTTTTATTTAAAAGTAATTATTTTTGATAATTTCAAATTACTAATCTCTAATTAAGCTATAATCTTTAAATTTAATTAGTAATTTATTTTATTAATATTATAATTATTTAATTTTTATAAAATATTGAAATAATATAGATATAGAAATTAATAGTTTTATTTTATTACAATATATGGTTTTTTATTAACGCTCTGAAGTCATTTAGATTTTGTTATTTTTACCTTAAGTGACCAGATTATTATGGCGCGCTCTAATTAAGTAAATTTAGACCAATCAAATAAAAGTAAATATTTTTGCTAATTAACGGTAATAAAACAATGTTAAACGTTATTTATATCCAATTTTAGGTAATTTAATTTTAATATTAAAAAATAAAATATTGTTATATAAATAATAAGTTTAATAAAAACAATATTTTGTATTAAAAATATAAATATCGGTTCCGTTAAAAATGATGTGCCGACTGATAGTAACTTTTCATACGGTAAACAAAGACTGCTTCCATTTTGCAATAAACTCATAGCCGACGCCTGGAATTAGACCAACAAATTGGCTAAACTTTTAAGATTTTCGTTTAACATTTCCATAAAAATTTAAATCAGTGACCAATAGTGAGATAAGTGGTCGGTTGAGGTAAACGGCTCGCGGGGCCGACAACTTCAATATACCCAATGATCTGTCTGTTGATTCATACTTTTTCATACTTTCTCTGAATATCTTTTCCCTTAAGCTTAGTGTTGACCACAAGCATCCCTTTACATCCGCCAAACCTTATTTGTATCGCTGACGGCATATGAATGCAATCAAATGGCAACTGTTTATAAACTTTTTCGGCGATTTCCTCGGAAACCATTCCAATGCCATCAGAGAAAACATATCGTTCTTTGGTTAGTAATTGACTTTCTGTAGTCTGGTTTCAAAGAGCACTCAATGTCTGAAAAGACATCAATTTTGGTATTGTTATCAATGCTTATGTGAGTCATGGGCTGTGAGAAGACCAGTCCGAGTCGGGCCACATATTTGGGAACATTTTTTCGTATTTTACTCATATCTCCAACTGATTCACGAAATGTATGAGCAGTTCGACAACAGCTATCCTTTGCATATAAAATCATTCCGTTGTCTCTCAACTGACTCGAAGAACTGCCGACAAACTGGAAAACTCTTTCACCAATTTTGATACCATTTATTAGCGGTGTTTTGACAATTCGTTTAATAAAATTTATTCGTGACAAAGACATAGTAAGCTCTGGCCAAACAATGGGAGGCCTCGATTCCCGATTACTCATTATTATTATAATCTAATAACAATTTTTTTTATATAAATTATAATACAATAATTTAATTAATAAATATTAAAAACTACCTATTTTGGAACAAAACATGTCTTTGAAAACATGTTGCATCCGACGACATGGCTTCATGACATAATGGGTTCTTACAATTTGAACACCAATAAGATGTTTGATGTCTTATAGACATTTTTCTACACATTATACAATTACGTTTAGTCGGCTTTGCATCAATTTTAATAAGATGAGATGAACCGCAAGAGTGTAAATTAGTTTTCATAGTGTTGTAACCAATTAATCGATAAGCAATTTGAAGCTTAAAATAGCTAGATTTCATTGGAGTTTCGACTTTCGATTTGTAGATAATATATGAATTATTAATAGATACATTTAAAAATAAATGCCAAATAACTAATGTCCATTTCATCAGTCGATGCGGATAAGAGTGATAACTTAATCTTTGGTCGTATCTATCAACCCCTCCCATAAACTTATTATAATTATTAATAATAATTGGACATTGTATATTAACAATTCCCGATAAGCTTTTTCTTGAACGCCTTTCAATCTCAACCTCTCCTTTTGTTAGATGCGTTGACAAAGCGAGAACCTGCTTATTGTCGAACCAGGCGACACAACATAGCTTATCCTTCCTCATATAAATAGGTCCACAGTTTTTCTTGCTTAAGTTAAGCGCACATTTATGAAAGTTTAATGGTAATCCTTTCCGATTTTTGCGAAGAGTGCCAGTCAAGCCGACGCCAAGTGATGCGAGTTCTTCAGCCAGTTCTATACTTGTATAATAATTATCACAAAAGAGTGTATGTCCAGACATTTCTCCGACACATTCCATTAATTTTAGAACAATATGTTTTGTTGATGAAGTGGTATCGTCACCACAATAGCAGAGCATATTAATCATATATCCCGTTCTTGATTCGCACAATACGTAAAACTTAATTCCGAATTTGTGAGCCTTGGATGGAATGTATTGAATATGTTTCCACAAACCTTTAAATGCAACCAGCGATTCGTCGACAGACAGTTCTTTTGTTGGTACGTATAAATGTTGACTTATATCAGTTAAATGTGATAATAGCATTCGTACTTTGTACAATTCATCTGTTTTATTATTTGAATTCTCGTCGCAAAAATGAAGTGCACTTTTTATTAAGCCATATCTTGTGCGACTCATTGTTCGTTTGATTATGTCTGAGCCATAAAACCCGTTAGACCAGTGATCTCTTTCGTTCGGTATTTGTTTAAGACTTATAAGTATTTGAATGGCAATAAAATTTTTGAGTTCACTTATAGTAACATCAACTGTTTCATTGTAACGATTTGTGTAATTAACAACTTTTGACAAAAAGTCTTCATTTATGTAATTATCGAAAATTAGCGTTGGATCTGTAGGTGTATCAATAGTAGGTCCACAAATTCTCTCAAATTTTGGTAACCAATTGTTTTCTATTTGAGTATCGAAACTCCATTCATTTACTTGATTAGTGTTGTTAATTTGATCCTCGTCTTCACTGTTGTCGCTATCATTATCATATGTTTGAGTGAACTCAATGTTTATCCCTTCATTATCGCTCTCTTCATCAAATAAATGTGATAACTCATCGATTGAATTGTTTTCTGTTAGTGTAGGGAACTCAGGCATGTCTAATGAAGTTGCGGGCGGACCGTCAAATGAATCTCCAATCACACCAAAAGTATGCATTGAATTTCTATTACTCATTCTTAGTAGACTCCTATTGTTGGTGAAAGTGCCGCCACCAGTAATGTCCATGAGATCAGGCATTTGGTTACGATTTGAAATGATTTGCGATGAAAATCCAGTTAAAAATGAATTGAGAGAGTGTTGCGGATGTTGTGGTAGCGGTGGTATCACTGATCCTGTTGGTTGACACATACTCTCTTCCAGTGATGATAGTCCCGCAAAACCATTATTGTTTACTCTTCGTGTCGAAACAGAACCTATTAATGACTGCTCACTGGCCAATGGTTCATGAGATGGACTCGACATTATGGATGTAATGATAGATATTCAAAACTAAAATATTTTAAACACTAAACAAATTAAGTTTTTCTAACTGAAAAGTTGGGTTAAAAAGTTATTGAGTTTATCTAAACTTTTCACACAAATATCTAAATCTTTGTCAATCTTCTCAATCAATGAAGAAATTTCAGTCACTTTTGACAGGTTTTCTGACACTTTGATGAGTCGTTTTTGTCGCTCAACAATGAATTGATTGGACAGATATGAAACCTTTGAGTCCAACTCTTTGACACAATCAATCAGTTTTAGCTGTTCTCGAGCAACAAACTCGGCTTTTGTCTAAAGTTGTTTCTCAAGAATGTGACCTAAATTGATGATAAACTCGGGCTTTAATTGTGGATATGATTGAGACAATGACTCGTATCCAATGGGAATCAATGGTTTGAATGTCGGCGGAAATGTAATAATATCTTCACTATCAGTCGGTGCGTCCGATACGACCACAATCTCGGCGGGAATCCAAATCTTTGCTTCACTTTTGTGTCCAACAATTTGTTGTTGTCTTTGGTCTGATTGGCCGCCAATTGCTTTGATGTGTTGCGATGTGATGAAGTCGGGAGTGGACACCGAGTCGACTGAACTCTTACGTCGGCTATTGGTATGAGTGTTGATCTTGAGGTCGGCTTTACTTCTGTTTTGATAAGTCTCTGGCTTTTTGCTCAAATGAAAGCCCTTTAATGGTTATATAATCTTAACATTTGTGACACTTGTCTTAACACAAACACTATATATTTAAAGCAAAATAATTAACAAATGCTTTAATAAAATAATAATCAATTGATTTGTCACTAAATTAGTTCTTGAGGTCGGCTTTACTTTTCTTTTATAAATTTATATATTTTCTTTAATATTTACTTTAATAGTATTACTTATATTTGTCAAACATTAAAAAAATTATTTTATTTATTTTTGTTATTAATGTTTATCGAATACATTTTATATACATATTGTTTATAATATGTAGTTATAATTTGTTATGCAATATCTTGTTCATAAAGTACGTCGAATAGTTTAATTTTTTTAATTACTAATTAATTCGAATTATAATTCACTTCTCTGATTGGTCAATAGGCTCTGTGCCGATGGCACTGTTTTGTCACCAAAGGAAAACATAGATTTGTGCCGATGGCACACGTTTGTTGTCAGCGCGTTAAACAATTATATAACATTTATATCAAATAATAATTAACATTTAAACAAACTATTGTTTTTTTTTTGTTGTATAAATACAATAAGTTATTATTTCACACACAAAAAAAATGTTTGCAAATTGTAATACTTAACTAAATATCAAGTAATCATTTTTGATATTAAAATAAAACAATATTATATAATATTGTTTTATTTTAATAAATATTTGTTTAAATGACTTTTGATATTTCCTCTCTGATAATCTAATATTACAATTAAATTATATAATTGTAATATAAATCTATTAAACAATTAACAAACTATCAAATAAAATATAATAATAATTATTATTATTATTATTATTAGTAGTAGTAGTAGTAATTTTGATACAAATTAATTTTAGTTTAACTAAGTTTTTATAGTAAAGACAGTTAGTATAGTTGTTTTTAAAGCATTTAACTTTTAATAATTATTTTTTTGCTAATTAATAATTATTTTATTATAAATGTTGTTTAGTTTTGTTAGTGTAATAATATTAATAATACTAGCAATTAATTATCATTAATATTACTACTAATATTGTTATATTTTTATATTATTGAAATTAGGATAAAATGTTATTATTGTGTAGAAAAATATATCAGAATATATATATATATACTAATTATCAATAAAAAAATATAACTTTATCTAATTATTTGTTTTAAATAACATTATAATACTAATTATCAAATATTATATTAAGTGAACTACTTTTATTAAGACACAAAAACAAAAATTATATAATTTTTTTTAATACATTATTATTATTAACAGATAACTAAATATATTACTATTATTACAATAATATGTATTATCAAATGTATAAATATTTGCATTTATATTATTTATCTAATATTATAACCTAATATATTATATATAGTATACTTTACTGTATATTAAAAATAGGTTTCAAATCGCATACTTATTATAATAACTAAAATAGTTTATATTAAAATATAATGATTTTTTTGTATTCAATATATATATATATATATTTATATATATTTATATATATTATAACAGTTTTATAAAAACAAATGATAATAATATATATATATATATGAATACTGTATGTATATATATATAAGTATACATTGATATATTATACACAATTATATACATTGATGTTAATATTTAAATAATATTATACATATATATAATACATTTGATATATATTATAATTAGTATTAAATAAAGTTTTATACTATAAATCTATATATTAGTATATTATAATAGTTTAGGTATAAAATATTATTATTATTATTATTATTACATATACTGTATATTAATATACTGTAAGAAAATATAACACATGGAAATTATCAGTAAAATTATAATTTTTATTAATAACTTAGTATCAAATAATAATAATAATAATAATAATAATAATAATAATAATAATAAAATGCATAACTTGTATATACTTTTATTATTATCATATTATTTCATTTAAACTATTGTATTCATATAAAATGTATTTCATATTTATCAATATATTTTTGTGTAAAAAAACAATATGAATAGTACTTATAATACAATATAATATTATTTAATAATAATAATAATAATAATAATAATAATAATATCATATTTGCAATTCATATCATTAAAAATAGACAGACACAGTGTAAATAAATTTTATTATATATTATTTGATATTATATATCAATTTATTACATAATATATATATAAGTATATATTTTGTTGGAAAAAACAATAAAACTATTTTTTTGCAAACGTCTACAAAAAAATAGTTAATATATAATAACATATTATAATTAATTATCAAAATTACTAATCAGTAATAATATATTTATATTTTTTTATAACTTTGTAACTAAATGGTGATAATGTATATATATATATAATAGTATATATAATCATATAAATACAATATATATATATTTGTTAATTACTTTATTTGTGTCTATAATAAAATATTAAAAAACACGTCAATACGTGTATAATCTGGTAATTAATAATTACATGTTATAATAATAATAATAATTAAATAAAAAATTGGTAACTTTTTATTATAGTAAATTATTAGTTAATATTTATTACTATTATTATTAGTTAATATTTATTATTAGTATTAGTAATTAATATTTATTATTATTATTATTATTGCATAATATTTGATGATTTAATTAGTAAGTAATGTTGTTTTATTTTTAGACTTTTTTATGTTATTTAATATATTTAGTGTTTAAGTGATTTTTAATTTATTCAAATTTTTTTTTATTTTATTACTATTTGATGATAAATCGATTTGATTCTGTAATAATAATTATGTAACAATTGTTATTTAGTTATTTTATGATATGATATAATTATTTTTTTATTATTTACACTAAAATTAAGGTATTTTTATTAGCAAACTATATACAGTATATATATCGATAAACATGAATTCAATATTTACAATATAATATATATATAAAATGTAATAAATTTATATAAACATAATATATAAATTAAAGCTAATATTTAAATACTAATAAATTTTAACTAATATAATATATGTTCATGTTTTTTTTATACTAATAATAATCATAATAAACTATTTTCAGTAATATTAAACTTTTTTTTATATATATACTATACATACAGTATATATATATATATATATAAATTATATACATTTAAATTAAAATTATATTTTATAAGTTTAAAAAAATTAAATTAACGTAAATGTAATAATAATAATACTGTAATACTAATAATATAGCATAAAATATTACATTATTTTAATAATGAAAAAAATAATATTGTTATCTATAAATTATAGTTACAGTATATACTATATATTTATATATGTATATAAATTTTACTTTAATTGATGTTATAAACATTGATTTTTTAATTGCCATTAAATCTAAATTGTTATATCAATATATTTTATTTGCCGTAAATTTATAAACTATAGTATTTTTTAAAATAAAATAATACAAGTAATATATAACATATTTTTGTTTGTGTTATATATATATATATAGTTATTTTATAGATAACTTTTTTTTAACACAAATATTTTAAATTATGATAAATATAATAAATTTTTTTTCATATTTAAAAAAAATGTTTTGATTAAACTGTGTAATTATAGTGTTTATATAAATTATTAACATTATATCATTATTATTATTATATATATATATTATATTATTTTATAGATTGATGACTACTCTAGTAGTTTGGAAACACTGATCTACTGGGATCTACTAACTGCCACATAGAGAGCACAGGTATGTCTAATTTTTTTTTTATCAGATATTATTATCAATTATATCAATATTTGTATAAATCTAAATATCGCATTGATTTATAATATGTTAAGATATGTTATGTTAAGTAAGTAATTTGACTTTAATTTATATACTTATTRAATACAATACAAAAAAAAWTTGAGAGCATTTGTAAAAAATCATAATTTTATAATTAAATAATCATATGATATACATGTGATTTATTTTATTTTTTAAAAAATTATTATTATAATTAGATTATATCTCTAATAGAGATTAACCTTTTTTGTGTTGTTTTAACATTAAACTGTATGATAAAGTTTTTTAAAGATATTTTTATAAAAATAAATTTACGATAAATAAAAAAGTTTTCTATTTTTTTGATGTTATAATTTCAAAGGTATGTTTGAAGTGCTCTCTCTCTCTCTCTCTCTCTCTCTCTTAAATAAAATATATATAATAATAATAATAAGGGTTAATGTAATTAACCACTTAATGCAAAATAAAATACAGACAGTGTATATCTAAATAAATAAAATAAATAAATATAACTATATGTCTGTAATTATTTTATTTATTTATTTTTTAAAAAATAAAGAGTTAATAAACTTTTTTATTGTTAGACATGAAAAAACACTAAACAATAAAATTAATCAAATAATTGAAAACTATTTATAAATACTAAATATCACTAAAAAAATAAAAATAAAATAATTATTTAATTTAATTGATTCATAGCATAATATCACTATTGATAGTAATAATGACAACTATATTAATAATAATAATAATAATAAAAAATTATTAAGTAATTAAATTGTTTATACAATTTAAATATAATATAATAATAGTAACAAAATTTATTGTTTTATAATAATAATAATTATTATTATTATATAAATTGTTTTAATATGTTGAATAAATTGTGAAATGTCTATTAAATGATTACTTAATATCATATTAATTGAATTCATAGTTCATCTATAATATATATATATATATATATACAAGTATATATAGTATATATATATTATGTTATCAATAAATACAATATATGTGTAAAAAAATTTTATATATATATATATAATATTATAATATAATTGTATTGAGAAACTGTATGTGTTTTAAGGCCTTGAGAGATATGATTGTATTTAATATTTAGATTTAAAAAAATAACTTCAATTTCCTTATCTATATCGCTATTAATATTATTTTATTAGTATATATATATATATACAGTAATGATAACAACAATATACTCTCATTATATTTTAAATCTTTTTTTTTATCTATATGTATATTATATGTATAATCACACCAAAAAATAGGGAAAGTGAAATTATATAATAGATTATTATTTTATATACTGTATATATATATACATGTAGTTGACAACACATAATAAAATAAAAATTTCTCAATATTTAATATATAATGTTATCATTTAAGTCACACATACACACACACACACACACACACACACAYAMACACACACACACACACACACACACACACACACAAAATGTAACTGTTCACACTTGTATATATATATATACATATATATATATATTATAATAAATAAATACTAAATATCATAGCAATTGTCTAATAATAAAAATTATTTATACTGTTTATACATGTACAGTATATAGATATACAATATATAGTGTATATATATATAGTATAGTATAGATATATTTAAAGATATTTATATATATATGTAGAGTTACTAGTTACTATATAATTAAATTTATATAATATTTAACAAGTTTTATATAATTCAATATACTGTAAGATAACTAAAAAAAAACAAATACATTATGAAAAATAAAAGTAAAAATGTTATAATATTTTATTATATTATTATCTACAAGTATTTAATTCTACGATACCATTGTTTGATACTATTGTATTTATTATTATTATTATTATTACAGTATTTTATTGTATTAAAATATATATATAAATAACTTAATTGATGATATTAGTTCAAAAAAGTACGGGTGCTTTAAATAGTTACTACCATATGATTACTGCTGTCCCTAAAACTTAATACAATACATACTGTACCGGTACTTATGGTACAGTCTGTATGTATAGATTCAACGACAAAAAAACATACCGATACATTGAAAACATAAGTAATTTGAAAACTTATATTCAATATATAAATAATTTAATTTTAGTATATGTATATGTGGGTATCATTATTATTATTATAGAGAGAAAGTTTGTCTTTTTTTACAATAGATTTAATTCATAAGATTATATTTATAGAGAGAGAGAGAGAGAGAGAGAGAGAGAGAGAGAGAGAGAGAGAGAAACTTTGAGATATTAAACTAAGGTTTAAGTTTTATCTAATATAATATAATATACAAAATCTTATATATAATTAGTGTGTATTTGTGTGTATGTATGTGTGTATATGTATGTATGTATGTATGTATGTATGTATGTATGTATGTATGTATGTATGTATGTATGTATGTATGTATGTATGTATGTATGTATGTATGTATGTATGTATGTATGTATGTATGTATGTATGTATGTATGTATGTATGTATGTATGTATGTATGTATGTATGTATGTATGTATGTATGTATGTATGTATGTATGTATGTATGTATGTATGTATGTATGTATGTATGTATGTATGTATGTATGTATGTATGTATGTATGTATGTATGTGTGTGTGTGTGTGTGTGTGTGTATGTATGTATGTGTGTGTGTGTGTTGTGTGTGTGTATGTATGTATGTATGTATGTATGTATGTATGTATGTATGTATGTGTGTGTATATGTATGTATGTGTGTGTATGTGTAAAAAATCTCATCTCTAATGTGTTTTTATTAATAAGAGATGTCACACATTTGTCAACTCATGTATATTACAGTTTAATAAATATAATATACAGTATATACATGTATATACGGTAGTAGTTTAAGCTCCCTGTGCTCTTCAAAACATTTTTGTTCAATACCAGTACACATACATAACTTATATAAACAGTATATTACAGAGTAGTAGTACTTTAATAATAGTAAAAATCACTTTCCATTATACTGTATATACCGGTAATTAAATATAGATTTTTATTTTTAATAGAAAAAAAATTCAAAATCATATATTAATTTCGTAATAATTATATCAATTGAATACATTTATTACTATAATAATTAACTTATTAACTATTTTTAAACATAAAACTATATATATACACTATATATATATTTAATTAATTTATTATATATATATATATATATATATATATATATATATTGCGAAACTGCATTAGATATTTAGCGTTAAATTAATAATCATATAAATTGAAATAAAATAAAAATTATTTTTTATTTTAATACATATAATTATTAATATATACTTATATAAATTGTTGTGAAATAAACCATTAGTTTAAAAAAATTAATCAGTCGAAACCAATAACAWAAATTATTGAATTTTTATTGTTATTTAATATACTGTATATACTGTATTATAAATTATAGTTACTTATTATAATTATTATTATTATTATACTTGTATTGATACCTTTATTGATAATTTAATTTTATATACTATATT